GCATCTCCTGCGGTATAGCGAACCTATTACGCAGATGAGATGAATGACATGAGCACTAAAGTTTAATTACTAAACCGAATTATAATGTATACAAACCACAGCTATATATGCACTATTGTCCTTCCAATCCAGACCAGGGCATATATACTTATGTCTTCATTAGGTGTTTGATCGACTTCTTCTAGTCGTGTGTCTTGTTTTTACAATTCATCACTTATCGTTTGACTTAAAGATGAAATGTCAACACAGGCACATGATATATCTTTGTTCACCCAGCTTATGACATTGTTTAAAGCTTTTTAGTGTTCGATCATTACCATATTCTGCGTTAGCTTACTCATTAGGTGAAAACAATAAGTAAAGATCGTGGATGCGCACTGCTGAGGAGTCCCATACTAGGACGAAACGGCCGTCCAGTGCTTCCAGGTTTTCAATGGTGGTCTAGCTTCAATTGACTCATGATTTCAATCTGTGAAATTTCTAAAATCGCCACAAAACCCATTCTGAAAGAATTAATAGTTGGACTATGGGTATTTTCTGACTACCTTAATTATCATTCATCCGGGCGTTCATTATTTATGTTTTTGACTACATTGTAAAGAGGTATGTGAAGGGTTGGAGTGATGAAGATAACGTTTATCTCTTATTTACAAGGTATTCGGATAAAATACGCCTGATGAATTAAATGAAGATTTTATCAGTAAAATTAATCTAGTTACCAAGTCTATAAATTGCTACCAGATTGGTTGTCTAGTGGTTTGCTAATTCACGATTTGCATAAACAAAGACTCCTAATTTACACATATCAACTTCATATCTACAATGGTAGTGTGGTGCGTGCTACTTATATTGATATAAGTAGTATATAACGTGAGTCAAAAGAACGCAATGTCTGGCAGCAGAAGATGGAGAAGATCAAGAAAAGAAGAGCGAGAAAACAATGGACTTTGTAAGAAATCGCATGAACAATGAAATGCGAGACAATGGATGTGATAGAATGACATTTTGCAAATTAACGATTTACTATATGGTTTTTCTATTTTACCAAGTAATTCTGTAATTTGCCCCAAATACAATTTGGCTGTCCTCACCCGTGTTCTTCTTCACTACATTTGGTGTCGCTGCCTCCACTAAGGATGAAGATTCCATGGCCGAAGGAGTTTGAGGACGGGGATGTGCTGAGCTTCCTGAAGGAGTTTGAGGCCGTGGCGGAGCTGGCGGGAGTGAAGGAGCCGAAGATGAAGTTGGTGGTGCTGGGGACGCTGCTGAGAGGCAGAGCGAAGGCTGTGTATGACAGCTTGGACGGTGCTGGCGGGAAGACCACATGGGAGACAGTCACGGAGCGGTTGGCGGCGGAGTTTGACAGCTCAGTGGACAGAGAGGACGCGCTGCAGAAGTTCCGGTTGGCGAGGTTGCCGGTCGATGGTGACCCACTGGTGCTGGCTGTGTAGCTTACCAGATTGTTACGCCGTGCGCTGCCGAGTCTGGATGAGGAGTCGGAGGCACAGTTGTTGGCGTCACAGTTTATCGAGAGTGTGCCTGCCACCGTCTCCCAACAACTGAAACTGGTGAACGCAGCGCAACCGATGGATATCAGTGGACTGGCGAAGGTGACTCGACAGCTGATGACGCGAACAGTAGCTCCGGTCGGGTGCGAAAAGCAGGAGATGAATAATGTCGAGAAGAGGGTTGAGGAGCTGGAGCGTGAGATTGCAGCAATACGAGTGAACAATAAAAGGAACGATAAATGTTACGCTTGTGGAGGGACAGGACATTGGAAGATAAACTGTCCAACAAGACGAAGACGCAGATATGTTAGACGTTACAACGAGTGTTCTTTCTATCCTAGGAATCTGGGGATTGTTGCGTTAGTAGACAGAGGGGCAGTATATACGAGAGTGAACATAAATGAGCGAGATTTAGTTTGTCTGATCGATACAGGTGCAGCAGTATCGTTAATAGGCAAAGAGCAATGTAAGAGAATCAAGCCGTGTACATTAGCTGTCCACACGATAGGGGGCCATATGTTAGAGGTGTTTGGCGTATCTAACAGTATCGTAAAAGTGGGGGGTGCTGAGATAAATTTTCCGTTCGTCGTAACCACAAGCTTATCGAGACCGATATTAGGAGCAGATTTCCTAAGAGAAGTAAAAGCGATAGTTGACTTAAGAAGCGGTAAGGTGGTCACGAAATATGGTTCATTGACAATACACGAAAGTAGCGAAGTGGCTGAAATAAGAGTTGCAGCGGATGTCTCGTCAAAGAAACCAAACATTCACGAGTTATGCAAAAAGTATGCAGAACTATTCACTGGAGATGGGGAGCCGTATGGATTTTGTGACAAAGTAAAGCACGAAATACCGATAAAGAACAGTCGAGTAAATATATTTGCAACACGTCGTGTCCCGGTGCATTTAGAGGCCGAGGTAAATCGTCAGGTCCAGGAAATGTTAAAAGAAGGTATAATTGAGGAAGCGGACAGCCCATATAGCTCGCCGGTACTCTTGGTAAAGAAACCAAATGGAAAGTATAGATTTTGTGTCGACTTCAGAGAATTGAATAATATAACAGACCTGAAGCCTTGTGCAATGCCAACAGTGGTGGAAACATTAGATCGGCTACAGAATGCCACGGTGTTTACAGTGCTGGATTTACGGTCAGGTTATTGGCAACTACCTATAAAACAGAGTGATCGAAGCAAGACAGCGTTTACTGTACGTGATAAACAGTATCAATTTAAACGAATGCCGTTCGGGTTGGCGGGTGCACCGTTCACGTTCAGAAGATTAATGACACTACTGCTCAAGAATCTAGATAATGTCGAGGTATATGGCGACGATGTAGTTGTGTACAGTCAAACAGAAACAGATCACATCAAGCATGTGGAAGCGGTCTTAAAGCGAATTGACGAATTTGGACTTCGGATTAATAAGGACAAGTCGCAGATAGCGAGAAGTAGCGTCACATTGTTGGGACATAAAGTGGGAAATGGAGAAATAAAACCATTGCCGGAGAAAATTCTTACCATAAAAAATATTGCAGTACCTAATTCGAAAAGGAAGTTGAGACAGTTCCTGGGAAGAGCGGCGTTCTACAGTCGGTTTATCAAGAATTTCAACGAAATAGCAGCACCCTTATATAAGTTATTGAGCAGCACCAAGTTTACGTGGACTGAGACTGCCGAACAAACGTTCAACCGAATCAAAAACATGCTAGACGATCGCCAGATGACGCTCAGACTGCCTGAACCGGGAAGACTGTTTACAGTGGCCACAGACGCGAGTGATCATGGTATAGGTGCTGTGTTGAGTCAGGCTGATAGAGTGGTGGAATACGCGAGTCGCGTCCTCACACCCGCTGAACAGGAGTATTCAACCATCGAAAAGGAGTGTTTAGCGATCGTGTGGGCAGTGGAAAAATGGAGACCATACCTTTTAGGTAGACGATTTCACATTGAGACCGACCATAAACCCCTTCAGTGGTTGAAAACAGCAAGAGACCCCCGAGGGAAGTTGGCGCGATGGATGATACGCCTGCAAGAATACGATTTCAGTATCGGCCATGTTCCAGGAAAAGAAAACGTAATGGCGGATTACTTGTCAAGACCAGACATGGAAGCCGACCTGCCATTAACAGCATACGCGGTGAATAGTTTAGAGGGACACCCATTAGAACTCGTCCGGCAGCAGAAAGCTGACCCTAACCTTCGAGAGGTAATCAGAGTGATAAAAGAGGGAGCAGACGTAGATAAACGAACAATGGACAAGGAGGTAATAACGCTGCTTCGGCAAAAGGAACGACTGAGAGTGAACTCATATGGAGTGCTGACCTGGCAGGACGATGATGAAAATTGGGTGGCGGTGATCCCGAAAGACTGGCGGCGCAAAGTGATACACGAGTGTCACCAGGTAGCACATACAAGCATCGCAAGAACGACGGACTTACTACGACAAAGTGCATACTGGCCGAGCATGAGAGACGATGTGGCTGAATACGTGTTAACCTGCCAGCAGTGTCAGCTAATGAAAAGCGATCGATACACACAACCGCCATTACAGTCAATCCCAGTAACCGCAGTCGGTGATCTATGGTCGGTGGATGTGATGGGACCGTTTCCACAGACGGCGAGCGGTAACCAGTACCTGTTAGTGATGACGGAACATGCTACACGTTGGGTAGATGCCGTACCCATTGCAGACCAGCGGGCAAGGACAGTGACCGAGGTGGTAATTCGGCATATTGTAGCGTGTCACGGAATACCGAAGATGATATTAACTGACCAGGGTCCCTGTTTTGAAAGTGACGAGTTTAAAGCCCGTTTAAAGCAGTTTGGTATCAAGAGAATACGAACTACACCGTATCATCCTCAGACAAACGGGCTTACAGAGAGAAACAATCGGACGTTAAAGGAATGGTTAGCATCAAAAGGAGGAAATTGGGAGAAAGAGTTACCATTGATTTTGCTGGCACATCGTTCCTCCACACAAGGAACAACCAAGAAGTCACCTTTCTTGCTCATGTATGGCAGACAACCACGACTTCCACTGCATAATAAGACCTGGCCACAACAACAGAAGTGGACGACAACAAGGTTAAGAAAAGAGAGGAGAGAGGCAATAAGGAACGTGGAAAAGAAACAAATATCAGACACAAAGAAGGCAGAACAACAGAGGAGAACGTGGAAACCCTTTGCAGTGGGGGACCTAGTAAAGTGTAGAGAACGAAAAAGTAACATAGCAGGGGGAGCAGGGTCGGGGAAGCTGACCCCAAAATGGGAAGGACCGTATGTTATCACGGAGAGACGCGGCTCGGTCTACACGATCCGGAGAGAAGACAAACAGAAGCGCGTAAATGCTAGTCAACTACAGAGATGGTTTCAAGATCATCATGGGTGTGAATCACGAAAAGCACCAAAGAACACAGCGGTACGGAGATCAGAAAGACTACGACAGCGACTTGTTAAAAGGGGGGACGAGTGTGGTGCGTGCTACTTATATTGATATAAGTAGTATATAACGTGAGTCAAAAGAACGCAATGTCTGGCAGCAGAAGATGGAGAAGATCAAGAAAGGAAGAGCGAGAACACAATGGAATTTGTAAGAAATCGCATGAACAATGAAATGCGAGACAATGGATGTGATAGAATGACATTTTGCAAATTAACGATTTACTACATGGTTTTTCTATTTTACCAAGTAATTCTGTAATTTGCCCCAAATACAATTTGGCTGTCCTCACCCGTGTTCTTCTTCACTACAGTAGATTAGAGAATCTAAAACAAGTTGACCATAAAATAATATACTTACAGAAAAGACTATCCTAGATTGATAAATTATAAGTATTTTCTAAAAATATTTAAATTCACGGGGTCAATTATATTTTAAGAAGAAGGAATGCTTAAATTACTTGTTCGAGTTTGTACGCCGATTGTAATCAGTATTTCGAAACGTCAGATGACCTGTGGGTTTTCATCTCTGGACATATTATCTAAAAATTACAGAGGCTACTAATTCTAAAGAGACGTGTGCGGTTGACCTCATGCAGTTTCCCATAGAGCAGTGTATTCACAATCTCAAGGTCATCGAGACTACAAGTAGTTCAACTTCTATACAGATTGGGAAGAATTATTCTTTTATGATGTGGGCTACCGGGTGCTGACCACCGCCCTCGTACCTCTAATACGTTGCAGAGTTTATGAATAGATGCTTACTTTTGTCTAACATTATGTGTAGGACTTAATTTGTCCTACAGATATTTTACTAGAACTGTAAACACGATAATGATGACCCCAGAGTCTATGTGAAAGCTGTAATCAGAACAAGTGTTGTTATTAAGTAAAATAACAAGGGTCTGCTTCTTTGTTCTTTGTAACAAACTTACTCTAGTTGCGTAATCTTGAAAAAATTTTTCTTCCATTTGAATCAGTTTATTTTCATTGGTTATCGCTTCAATTTCTGCTTTGCGTTCTTTCTTGGCTAGTACTCGTTTTACCATCTGTGTCGCATTTCATAATGAGTAAACATTAATGTATAATTAATTGATAACATTATGTTACTACTTACTTTGAAAAACAAACTCCGCCTGGAGTCCCTCCGGGGGCTACTGCCGGTCCCAAGCCCGGATAAAGGAGGAGGGTTGGGCATGGGGTTAGCGTCCCCAACCCGTAGAAAACTAACTCGCTAAAAATACGCTAACCAGAAAAAATTATTCAAACCTTGAAAATAAGTAGTATGAGTTATTAATACAGCGTGTTATAAGTTTTGGTGTTTATTCCAAAATATTAAATCATTAAGTAGTTTAAAATTTTTACTTCTATTAGTATTCTTGGTTTTTGAACAAAATATGCACGGATAACCTCAGTATGAAAAAAGTGATTTTTTAATGAATTACTCAGACCAAGTGTTCAGTACTACGATTGGGAACTGAAACCGATGTTAAATATTCCTAGTAAACAAGCAATAGAACCGACACTAACACCTTAGTGTTGTTGTTCACACTGTAAATACAGGCAATATCTATGCATTCTCTTAAGAAGCCTATATCCTGACAAAAGTTGATTAAATGCTGAAATAGAAAAAAGTGCACAAATAACCTTCTAAATGTCGATGGGGTGCTTTATGTATACTATAGCGGGCGTCTGCAAGAAATGACTCTTATACCTAACTGTACAATCAACTCATGTTAACAATCAAACTTACTGATTCCTGCAGTAACTGTCGTGATAATTGCTTTCGTTCTTCCAGTTTTTTTGTCTTACATGCATTTTCATATTCAGTTAATGCCAATTCAGCCGCTATCCTTCCACGTATTTCACATAATTCTATTCGTTTCTCGTCTTCTAATCGTTTTCTACGTCTTTCTATTTCATCCACTCTATATTCATTGATTTCTTGGATAATTTTCAGTTGTTTGTCATATCTTTCTTTTGTATCTCGTTGGTATTTTTCTTCGTTTTCTGTTGTTGCTCTGTTTAACCGTGCTTCTTCATTAGTTTGTGCATTTTTCAACTGTTCTGATAAATATTCTTGTATTTTTTGTAGTTCGGCTTCTTTTTGTCTGATATTTATGAAAAAGAGGTATTTACTGTGATTTTTTTATGGAGTGGGAGACATTTTGAAGATTTTAGATTTACTCTTCTAAATTGAATTATTGAATGAATGGACACTTTAGTGCCAGTCTAGACAATTATTATCATTATCAGTTCGATAAATCCATGCCAATCTAAACCTTGAATGACTGACGTTTTTTCTGATTATGTATATCGTAAAAATCGATCGCTTTATAATTATTAACAACAGATCTGGACTTTCGATTCCCCTGAAAGACTGAACATGGAGCTTTTAAGCATATTGATGAGCTCATCACTTAAATTATTATTGGTTAGAATCTAATGGTCTACATTTCCAACCCAGTTGTAGAGTAAGAGTGATATACAGCCTCAAAATAGGTCGAAAAAGTTGCTCAATGCCTCTTGATTATCAGTGGTTCCTTCAGTTTAATGTTAATATATAAATAACAGACGATATTTCAACTCCTAATTACTTACTACTATTTAATAGTAGCTACTTATAATGATTAAATAACAAGCATTCAGGTTAATGATAAATTCAGTGCAATTTGAAGTGTGTGAATTCACATACTGAAACATATCACGTTCCTTCATGATACGCATTTTTGTCATTTTGATCTTAGCTGCTGCAAACAATCGACATTGTTCTTCAATTTCCTTTGATTTTCGTTTAGATGTAATGTGAAAAACAAACACAAAATTGGAAATGAGAAAAGATAAACAAAATATGGAAGATTTACTCTTTGATTATACATTTGTTGAAGTGGTTCGTATAGATATGTATGAACGTGTTAGAGCCTAACATCGAGAATATTTATCTTGGTAAATTAAAAAAACAAAACAAATGATAGATAAAATCTAAGTTCCGAACTAGGTTTTACGTAGCTGTTTCGTTCGTATTATCAGATTATGTTTTCAGCCCTAAAGAAACGCGTATTCTTCGTTCCATGTAAATTTTAGGTAATAACGTGTTTTACTGAATATAGCAGTAAACTTGATAAAGAGACAATGGCTAAATATGTTAAGTTTTAATTAGGGTGAATTAGATGAGTGGTATATTGATAATGAATAAGTGAAATAGTTTTAACGTTGACGTTTTGGAATACTGAATATGGATAAACTGCTATTCACTATCATAGCTACCGGCTAATACAAAAAAATAAACCTCAGTTCAAAGATCTATTCATAAGAAAAAACAGACTTATTCAATTTGTGTGTGGAAAGACATTCGTAATAGTTTGGGGAATAGATCAATAGGCAATATATTAAAAAAATGAAACGATAACAGATAAATGTCCTCGACCTTTTTAAAGATGAGGAACATTTAGTAAAAAGAATCTTCCTGTAGGAAAATGTTAATTTTCAGAAAATTAAATGAGGGAATAATATGCACCTTAACCAAATTAGGTGAACCTAGTTTAAGTGTCATGAAATGAACCAGCTTCCAGCCGGCTTTAAATATCTACACCTAGTGTCTAAATCTCAGGGTTAGAAGTTTTGACGACCACCCCTAGGGTATTTAATATTAACTGCATCAGCCGGTAAAAGAATGCGACCATGCTTCATCGTTTAGTACAAAAATAGTACATTAAAAAATTTTATTTACAGTAAAGTCGTTATAAATAGACTCGTTAGTTCAGGCTGAAGTAGTCTATTACGCACCACTTTATTCATTGGCGAATAAACTGCTAGAATGAAAGCACAATTTCGTAACGTAAAGTATAAAATTTTCTGTATAAATGCTTGGGGAATATACCTTTGACAGTTTATACACCTAGACTCAAAATTTATTAATAGATTGCTTCTTTACACAGTTTAGTAATAGAACCGATCAGTAAATCTATGCATTTTTGATCTCGGTAACTTCAAAATTCGAGAACGAGTTCCATTACGGTTTACGATTTACTAGAAATCAGTACTCTGCTTCGGTTTGGGCACCCGAGCAGTATCCCAGATCTCACACAAATTGAATGACTTATGTGGCGCATATCTATTTGGTGCATCCTTGTACTAATGTTTATGTGTTTAAATAAATAAATAAATCAGTACTTTGAGGCGTCAAGTAATAGGAGTCATTAGTGTTCACATTATCATATATTTTCTCGTCTTCTTAAAACTATTTGACATACTATCATTGATGACTCTTTTTATTGGGCATGCATTACATTGCTCTTGCAAATCACTTCTGCTAGTCTCTATTTCTTTTTTCCTATGAGAAGCTTGTTAACTAAAACGACAAAGTTTACGTGATAACAGAAGTTTTTGTTTATTACGTGGTGATCAGAATATATCAAAGAATGTGATACAGTCTCTAAACGAAGTAATAAAGCGTCTTGATAGATTTTTCCTACTGTTAGATATTCGGAAATATTTAAAAAATTAGATTCAATTTATAAACAATGGATGTTAACTAGTTTCCAAATTTTGTAACGAATACAGACTCTAAAGAGTCGGGCAAATCAATCAGTCAACTAGTCATAAGCAACGTAAAAACTTGCGCACGCATGTGCATTAGTGAACGTTGCCTCACCATGCCAGTATTTTGAGATAAATAGATATTAGGGCAGTAAATGTAGTAACACTATCAATGGTGGCGGCTGTATAGTGAACAAAAACTCAGATGGGGAAAACCAATTTATTATCTGATGCAATATCACACGGTGGCTTGGTTAAATATGGAAGTTACACATTAAATACACCAATTGCACATCTTCGCTTCGTCCTTTACATGCTCTGTCGTTTCTCTAATTATGTTGTTATTTCGTTTCCTTTCATATTTTCTACCTGTTCTCTTCACTGCAATCTTCTGCTCCCAGGTGTTACACTTTTGATTGGTACTACTACTAATACAACTACAACTACTACTACTATCTGTTAGGATAAGTAGCAGATATCACAGTTGTACTAAAAAGCGTCAGGGATAAATAATATTATTGGAAAACAAAGAATACGTTGATTAGATAAAAAGTGTAGGACGATTTCAAAATTTAAAACTAAAGCAAAGACGATGACTGAATGCATCTACCCCGATTCCAAATCATATCACTTAGTTTTTTTCAATCATTAATACAGCCATGCTGACACTAATCATGTTATTCTTCACCTACCTACACGGCTTAGACCAACGGTTAGTGACTTCATGAAGTGATTCCATGTTTCAATTTCATCTACACAAGATTTCTACCTACTCCTACAAGAGATAAGCAGTTTGATTTTATTTAATTATGCAAATAAGTTCTATGTTTTAAATTAAATATACACGCTATTAGAGAAGTGTGATCGTCTTATCCACGATTTACCAATTGAATGTGCCTGGGCCCTAACGTTGGTGCTATCACTACAATTAAGACACATTATCGATTACTTTAAGACACTGGTTATGAACTACTTATATCCTCACATTTTTGATTTTCCAGTACGGTCTATACCTAGATTATGTATTTATAAGTAATATATCCAAAATTTAGTGAAAAAGCATAACAGTTGATCAATAGAATTTTCGCACTTCATCACATAATTTTTCAATCTCTTTCATTTGTATATGACCATTAATTTGGTCTTGAAATTCTTTTGCTAGTTTTCTCATCTGATCACGATAGATTTGATCGAGCTTCTCACGTTCTAATAAATCAATTGTTGCATTCTTTCTCAACGCTTCGCCTTCAGCTGATATTTGTTCTTTACGACGTTTTTTCTGTTCATCATGTTCTTTTATTCTTGTGAATAAAATAATGACCAACATTAACAAAAACAGGGTTAATACGGGATAAAAATTGCATAATTCTCATAGCTTAAATCACGAATTGATGTTAGCGAAACAACCACTGGAAATTAGGAATCAGTGGACAGCCGTCTCAGCCTGATATTGATCTCTTTGACAGTGCGCACGTACGACCGCGCGTCCATGGAATGAACTCAGGACCTTCCATCATGAGATGGGGTTCCTGGAGTTTATGATGAAAAGCTATTACCAGTAGAGTCCAACCGTGTCAAGAGACAACTACCCACCTTAGGGAATGAAAAATGATGTCTTGTTATAATTTTGTTCAGGAAAGAAAAGGAGCATTAGTTGATAGTGTAAGTTTAAATAGAACTCATCATCATTGTATTTCGATTAAGAGACTAAATCATATCATACTCACCAGGAGATTTAAATGGTTTTGATTTCTATCCCTGAAGAGGCTATGTTCTTGAACAGACGAAGAGTTTTTAGGTAGAGCCAAACAACTATAGTCAGTCCTTCGTATATATTATCATTGTTATTATTATTATTACACTTGATAACCTTTTTGAGGAATATAATCAGCATCCACCCCATTCTACTACATCTGACCTAATTCATATTATTCTACATATTGCGTAATTTATGATTTTTATTACATTATTTTCTCTCTCACCCCATGTTGACCATATTTATGATGACTATTTATTCCACAATTTCATTTCGCTTGTAAACTGATTCAAGTTAACACAACATATTAGTCAACTCCAAGAATAACGATTTGATTTTATATAACAAACAATCCTTCATTCAAAAACATGAGTTTTATGGATTATTAATCTGGATTTATAATTGTAGAACCTGATGAGAAATTATTGAAAAGAATATTCTTCTAAATAAGAACTTCCGTCTAAATTTGATCGAATAGTTTCACAGTATTTGGGTGCCGAGTTAATGTGAGACACTAAAGAGTAAGAATGTATCTATATATATGTTTCCTTGAAAAAACTTGGACCAGATTGCCAGGCGAAACGTTTGATTTACCTTAAATTCTTTCGCTGAGATTTTACAAATACATTCTTCCTCTTTAAAGAATATTCTTCGTTCAAATAATTGTGTATTAGTTAGTAGTATAATACACCCAAATAATCGCATGAGACGAAAATGATGATTCGAAATATATATATATATATATATATATATATATATATATATATATATATATATATATATATATATATATATATTTCAAATTAATAATCCATAAAATCCATGTTTTTGAATAAAGGATTGTTTGTTATATCAAATCAAATCGTTAATCTTGGGGTTGACTAATATGATGTGTTAACTTGAATCAGCTTATAAGCAAAATGAAATTGTGAAATAAATAGTCAGCATCACAATTGATTGATCACTCGGTGGTGATCAATGTCATGCGTGTCTAGTCCTTATTAGTGCACATCGAATACTACCGATCATGTTGCAATGTGGCCACCAGTCTAAGTGACTCGACACTGCGGGCACTATATATTGAGACGTTACCACTGAGCTATCCGAAGCTGGGTGACACGAGATCGAATCCGCCAGGGAGCACCAGTTCCCTCAAGATTACAGGTACACCTTGCTGACGAGTGCCAAGTAGCACGAAACCCGGGTCCAGGGTTTCCTGTTGACTATCTCCAACCACCATCTAATCTAAATAGTCAGCACAAATATGGTCAACATGGGATGAGAGAGAAAATAATGTAATAAAAATCATAAATTACGCAATATGTAGAATAATATGAATTGGGTCAGATGTAGTAGAATGGGGTGGATGCTGATTATATTCCTCAAAAAGTTATCAAGTGTAATAAAAATAATAACAATGATAAAGATGATAATAATAAGTCTGGGACATAAAAATGAACATTAATCAAATTACGTCACCATATTATAAAATTAATAACTTATTTGCCCCGATGTCGGCCAGGGTGAAAGGAGTGGCTGAACATATTCCTTTCGGATTCAAAGCTCTGGCTTTTTGATTCGAATAGCAATTGCTTCAGCCGCTTGCAGGATGCTCAGTCTGACGTAATTAGGTAGACTGCTGTTAACACGACATATTACTGCGAAAGATTGCTCCATGTTAACTGTATGTCCTGTTTGAATTAAATGAGCTAAAATGGAGTTGTCAACAGTTTTAACTACACCTTTGCTTAACCACACTGAGAGGTGCTCACGGGCCCGAATATACAAGTTCCTAGAACATCTGCCAATATAACTTGCTCTACAGAAGCAGTTGAATTAATAGGTACAGAAAGAAGTGGCTAGTCTAGGTAATTTATCTTTCAACCTTGGAGGGATTATTGGACATGTGGAAAACATTAATTGTAGTTTACCTGCACTAAAAGTTCTTTCAATTGATCTGCTTAACTTCAGTTTCAGCGTTTCATTTGGTGCATCGCCTCTGAATTGTAAGCGTATATACAGAGGCTATTTGTTCACAGTTAGGTATTCCTTATGGTCTGTTTATTGGCTGTTTTTATTTACAAACTTCTCAGGATATCCATTTTCTTTCAGGGTCGTGTATAATACCTTGGTTTCATCTTCGACCGTATTTAGAGAGCATATGGTCTTGATTCTATAGTGAAGTGTCTTAGTCACGTTTCTTTTGTACTACAGAGGAACAAAGCTAAGAACGTTTGCATATTGGCCCGTCTAACTAATATTCAGTAGTCAGTTCAATAATAATATCTATTGAGCATATAATGTGCAGTTCCAATCTGATTTTGTGTGGGATTACTATGTATTTATGCAAACAGGTAACATTCAACATATTTATAATGTAACTGTAAATTAGTAATACTAGCGACAATTATTATCAATCTTACTACACTCGTTAAACGTTTGTTTTATTGCAATACGTTTACATTTTGATACCATTCGTTCTCGTCTCAATGTTGGTTACTGGCATAATTTCGAAACACCTGTCAATTGTTACGTATGGTACTGTAAGTAACCTTTACATGTCAACTTCAGGAAGTACCTTGCTTTGATTGAACACTGACATGATAAACACTGTAGATAGGTTTGTAAATTCATCTCATATATTTTCGCAATAATACTACTGTATTACAGAATATTTTCTCATTTTGGATTGCTAGATTTTACGCATTACGTGATCGTGTAGTCAGAAGCTTCGATAAGAATTAATAGATATTATATATCAAATAATAATAATAGCAATGAAAATCATTTACTGTGCTATTAATTCTTGAGCATTTAATAAATTTTTCTCATGTCTTCTTTCAGCTTCGTCTAGTTCTTTCTTTATAGCTAAGTAGAAAGCGGAAGCATTTAGCGTTAGGAACCGCGTATTCAGATTTGCAGTAGCAAAATAGATTTGTGGGAATAAACGATATTATTGAAAAATAAAAGAACGTTGTTACCATGGAGCGAATAAGCGAAAACATGTAATTTGGAAAGTTATTCTCTGAAGATCCAGTAGGTATATTTTTTCAGAATAAGATGAATTGTGGGAATTGTTAAGTATTAATGAGACAATTAATAGACTCAAGTTAAACAACAATTGGAAACCAGGAAATACTAGAAAACCGATTTTTCCATAATCGGACTCCTTAGAAGTGTTCATTCATGATCTCGCCAGGTATCGGACCCAGGCATTTCAGGTATCGCAGAGAAAGCTAAAACTTTAGACTATTGAGTTAGAATCCTATAGTTTACGGCTCTAACTTCAATCAATTTGCGATATTGTATGATCATCTCTCATTATCTTCATCATTAACACAGCTGAACTCCAATAGTCATTCCTCATTGCAAATTTCTTAAATAATTGGTTTACGGTATTGCAATTTTTTTCACTGGAAGCATTTACGTGATTTATTAGCTAATAAAGCAGCTTTTGTCGATTACAAACTACAGTAATTTAATAATAAGTCTGTTACTCAGCCTTGTACCAGTGGGATTTATTAGTTACGTTATGTTACAGTCAGGTAATATCTGTATATTATCATGAGTTTTTATGCCTGAATAAAATGGAACAATAAATAATGTCCTTAGGTGATTTTCCTAGAGTTCTGATTAATAGGTTAGGAAACAGGTAAGAATGTTGCTTGGGTTTATCGGTCTTTTAGACCATACATTACCTGCGTTATCTGATGTTAAATGGCATTTAAATATACGGTCAGTCGAGATCAATATAGAGCCTGGGATATACGTGATTTGGCCGAAGTTGATTACCACATTAGCACGATGAGATTAGATTAACAAGATGAATAGCACAGAAACTGCAAAAACGTTCAGAAAGATTAAACATTGAGAATATGGTTCAGAAAGACGAAAGGAAAAGGTAAATATGATGAAATAGCGGATTTCAGGACCGAGAGGAAGATAAAGAGTGAATGCATCTGTGCCGTTGCAAACGACTGTGAGCAGAGTTACCAAAAGTTTATAATTACTGATAGTTTTTATTATGTGGACCGCATTTACTTGGCTCAGACTAACAGTTGATAACTTAATGGATTAATGCCGCATTTTGGTTACGCTGTCACCAGCTTTATTCCAGTCTACCAATACACTCTACTAGTATTACAAAGTTACTCAAAACATCGCCAGTATTGACTGTATTGTAGATTATTCTTAAAGTTAGTGAACTTTCGTTTTACATGTGAATTTTAAGCAAAAGAATTTAAAACCTACAGTGTTCCCATTTAGTATATTGTAACTTGAATTAAAAATATCCTAATTACATGGATCGTATATCTACTATTGCTCCACAACTAAAACGCTTCAACCGTATTACCACAGACACGACGAAGCGAAAGGGGAAACAATCACTTAGAAAATGACTATAACTGTCTTCAGGATTGGAGAAATAGGTTACAACTGCTCCATATTTTTAGTTCATACATAATTTTAGTATAGATACAAAACAATATTAAAAGTTTAAGTTACATATGAGAGAATAGCTAAGTTCAAAGTGAATTCTTATGTAATCATCACTTTTTGCTGTTTAGCGTCTAAATTTAAAATGAAAAACAGCAAATTAGATATTTTCTATAGCCTTCTAGAAGACCTGTTAACTAAATGCTCTCTAAATACACGATAGTTTGTCACTTTCTATTGTTCATCTATCAAACCACCAGGACACTGAGTAAGTGATATTTATTAAGAATCACTTGTAGACCAGAACATTAGTTTATTGACACAAGGCACAAATAGTCAGCATAGAGTGAATTTCGAGTAGGATGAACTTATAATATGATGTAGTCTCATATATTTAGCATTCCCATATGTCATTATGTTTGCTCATTAAACAATTACTACTCACTATCACCCGATACATCATTTAGTCATTATATATAGTCGTCATTCTGAGGTTATACGTAGAGTACTAGGTAAGTATGGCCAATCGGTTGACGAGGTAGTGAATCCTTATAAACTAAGATGGTTAGGACATGTATCACGTATGCCCATCCACCGAATACCTCGAGGAGTGATGATAGCTGATGTAGGAGTAGGCTAGAAGAAAGTTTAGGGGAGTGAAACCAAGACATAACAACTGTCCGTTAAGATATTGACTACTAACTGAGCCATGCAGGTAGGCGCAGATAAACTGGTTGAGTTTCGCGTGATTATCATAACCAATGGTTCGAAATTTGGGTAACATGACCCGAAATTGTTTGCTTTGGCGCAGGTGCATCTATTATTTATCTTCCCTTTAACCCAAATTTTCTAAATTTCTCATGAATTTCCTGTCTCAGTAGTTTATGTTTTCTTTTCGAATTGCATCTTCCATGCCTTCCATCTTTTCCATTACGAGTAATACTATTACTGCCACAACCACTCTGGGATTTATTTTGATGATCTTATCTTGCTGTGTTAACGGGATATGGTAACTTGAACCTAAGTACACATGTCCCAGATTCTACGTTGCATTTGATTGATTGATTGATTGACTAACTGCTAATGTCGTCAGACAGTAGAGTAGATAAAGTTTTTATGTACGCTATCAGTAACATTTGTGATCCTTTTTACATTTGTACTTCTCTAATGAAAAGCTGTAATGAAGGATAATGTTAGTTGATGTCAGTTACATCTATCATTCTAGAAGACTTGTTTGTCAGTGTTAATAGATTATCGTATATAAACGTGTATTTGTGTAATCACTAGCGTTGACAAAGGTTTGATGAACAAATACAATTTACCATTCAGAGTGAAAGAAGATGCATTCTATATTTAATGTAGAGTCAAATAATGCCTTTTTATAACACTGATTGAATATATCTTTTTCAATATATTATGCATATAAGTAAAAGGAATAGTACTGAGGTTAGGGTAATCTTTATTAAGAGTTAAACATGCGTCACTCATTCACTAAATAAACAGAAGAATAACCAAAAGTACTAGGTACCACACTGAAAACATTGGAGACAACCTCAACCTAACGGAATCGAGTGAAAATACTATTTTAATGATTTAGACTGAATAATAATTATTATTCAATCAAGCATACAGTTAAATATTTTGTTGCTATGTGCGGTGAATATCAGTATATTCTAACATTATTTTTAAACAACAATCCCAGAAATACACGTCTTTCAGTATACCGAACACTATAAATACTACTAAACTCGTCTCATATTTTCTTAAACAAATTTAGCGAATTTTCCAACAGTTATACTATTAGCATCATTAGTAGAAAATGTTTAAGCGATCCCGCTGTTTATATTTTTGACTGAATGTTAATTAGTTTTCGTTGGGATATGCGTTTGTTCTATGAGGATTATTTAGATATCCTCATTTATGTCAAAGTTTTATACAGAATAGATGAACTGGGGCTAGGCACTGGAATCCAGATACTCTTGTGAACATTGAACTATACATATTATCGAAGTCAAATAATAGATACGTAGCAGTATAGAAGTTTCGTCATGATTGTTACATTTTTATATTTTAGACTACAAACTGATCTTAGAGCACCATTAAAATCCAGGAAGAAACGAACAGCTTTCTCGTCCATGACTGCGCCATCAGAGAAGTACGGTCTTGCACGCCAAAGTGAGGGCGCTAGACTTGATCCCCGGTGGGATCATTGATGCACATATAGTGAAATGTATATTTAATGAATTTTATAGCCACAAAAATACATCCTACGTGTGATAACATGTTCAATAACTATGATTTATTTGTATCATTTATGAGCGGGCATAATTAATTGGTTAATCGATAACTACCCTACTTTTAATGTTCGAATAAGTACTACCAACGTCATTAACTTTTCTAATTTGTTGGCCACGATCTATGATCAAAGATGATAAAAGTGAAAGATTGCTCCATGTTAACTGTATGTCCTGTTTGAATTAAATGAGCTAAAATGGAGTTGTCAACAGTTTTAACTACACCTTTGCTTAACCACACTGAGAGGTGCTCACGGGCCCGAATATACAAGTTCCTAGAACATCTGCCAATATAACTTGCTCTACAGAAGCAGTTGAATTAATAGGTACAGAAAGAAGTGGCTAGTCTAGGTAATTTATCTTTCAACCTTGGAGGGATTATTGGACATGTGGAAAACATTAATTGTAGTTTACTTGCACTAAAAGTTCTTTCAATTGATCTGCTTAACTTCAGTTTCAGCGTTTCATTTGGTGCATCGCCTCTGAATTGTAAGCGTATATACAGAGGCTATTTGTTCACAGTTAGGCATTCCTTATGCTCTGTTTATTGGCTGTTTTTATTTACAAATTTCACAGGATATTCATTGTAAAATGTGATCGATAGACGAACCCACCAATAATAAAGGGAAACGCCCACCACTACATTAACTCTTTTTGACATTGTACGACTGTATCTCTTTATTAACCAATCACAGTTTAATGTTCATTGTAAAACAATATTTGCTTGTTGACTCATTTTTCCTATTCTCTGGCTACTGTTTGATATGTTATTTGTCTGTTTTTTTCTTCCCTGTATTAATAGACCGTACAGTTTGTTTGTACACTAACGATGTTAACTTATGTTTTAGAAACAGATAAAGTTTATCTAGCCAAATAGCTTGCTTGTTCTGACTTTGGCCAAACCAAGACTCTGTATTCGACGGTCTAGAGAATAGCTCAGAATTAAACCTGTAGGAAATTGCTCCCTACATCCATTTTCCTTCAGGGTCGTGTATAATAACTTGGTTTCATCTTCGACCGTGTCTAGAGAGCATATGGTCTTGATTCTATAATGAAGTGTCTTAGTCATGTTCCTTTTGTATTATAAAAGAGCAAAACTAAGAAATTATGGGGACGAATCTATCTACCTGTTGAGATACATATATCCTATTTACTGTGTGAAACTCAGGAACAATTACCGTACATCCATAATCTTCGAAATCATCTCGCAGATGTGTACCACACAGTAAATACTAACACACCGAATCCCAATAAACACCATAAAGATGTATACGACCAACAAACTAATAGACCGGTGTACAAACCTGGAAATCGTGCTTGGACGCAACGCTTTGTAATGTAGGTAAACTACAATTAATGTTTTCCACATGTCCAATAATCCCTCCAAGGTTGAAAGATAAATTACCTAGACTAGCCACTTCTTTCTGTATCTATTAATTCAACTGCTTCTGTAGAGCAAGTTATATTGGCGAATGTTCTAGAAATTTGTATATTCGGGCTCGTGAGCACCTCTCAGTGTGGTTAAGCAAAAGTGTATTTAAAAATCTTAACAGCTCCATTTTATCTCATTTGATTATAAAACCGTAATATCGTTTTTAGACCTCTCTACACTACTTGGAACTATTGTTCTGGATTATTACCAAGTAACGCCATCAGATTTATATTATTTTCTGAACTGTCTGTGCCAAAAGTGCAGAAGAGCATTTACGATTGATTGATCACTGGGTGATCAATGTCATGTATGTCAGGTCCTTCTTAGTGCAGATCGAATCCTATCGACTAAGTTACAATGTAAATGCATCTCAGTCCAACAAGAGGTCAGTCACAGCCTGGATAGCCCAGTGATAACGTCTCTGATTGTGAAGCTGTGTGACATGAGGTCAAATCCGTCAGGAAGCACCAGTTCCCTCAAGATTACAGATACACCTTGCTGACAAGTGCCAAGTAGCACGAAACCTAGATCCAGGATTTCTTGTTGACTAACCCCAGCCACCATCTTAGTGCAAAAGAGCATTTGATAATCGAGTGGAATCTATTTGTGGTGGTTACTCAGGAGCTTAAAAGTAACATTCATCACAAAACTGTTGGTACTATTTTGTCATTCAATTTACAATATTGTTTCAAGTGTTATCGTTCCATCGTTTTTTATCTATATATAGGTATTCCGGTTTATGGTATCAATATCTGTTTTGGTATATTATTATTTTTCTTGCATATTGTCACATCTTTATAGAGTTCTTTTAGAGGTCCGCAACACACTGTCGTACTAGGACGAAATAGCTGTCTAGTTTTCCTGGTTCACAGTGGTGTTCTAATGAAGATCAGTCAGCTATATAAACTATGAAAAATAAATATATAAATATTTTCACTCTATTTATGTATTGTTTTTAAAATTTACCTCCTTCAATACTTTTCCGCATCGTTTCGAGATATATTTTTTCTTTGTTCACTTCTGATTTATTTTTGAAATGTTTAAATCTCAGTTGCATATCACGTTCTTTCAAAGTTTCTGTTAGGTTTAAGCCTGACTATAGATAGAAGCCATAACAACAAATAGGCACAGGAAAACAAAATCTTAAAAATAGTGCGAAATGAGTCAATGAAATTAATAAGTACGGAGATGATTTCAAACAATTTCTGATAACCACTAATATGGCTGGGCCAAAGTATGGGGATAAGAAAGTAAGATAAGAAAATGTGACTTCAAGATCATGGTAAATGGTTCAAACAAGCTGTTACTCTGTCGATCGCATGCATACTAATTTTGACGAAAATATAACAACGTTAAAACAGGAAGCCGGTTATTTTTTAAAACCATTCTGAGTTTACGATGAAGAAATGATGATATTTAATAGACACGTTAAATGCAAATATCGTACACTCACTTTGGAAGACGATATCTGACTGTTGAATGCAACTTTATCGGTTAACTTGTGCTCAGTTGTGATTAATCAGAATGCCTTACACATGAATCCCTCCAATATTCATTTGCTTGGTTGTCTGTCTGTCTATCTATCTGTTTATAGATCAATCATATTTCAATATTATATTGACGCATGAACATTTCAGGCATACTGACTGATTAACATTCTGGACAGTTTGAATTCGTTTCAATACAATACAAACTGAATCAGTCTAATGCAGTATTGGATTTATCTTACAACAATACGATTGTTGGATATCCTATTTTCAGTGTTATCTCCATTCCAAATGCCAATGTTAACATAAATCTAATCCAATCACAAATAGGTTCAGTTTTTGTGTTATTCCAATACTACTATTATTTCAATCCAGTTGTGTCCACTCACTCCTATTAGACTATGTTTGTTTAAGATAACGTATATGCCGGTTAATTCTATTACTTAAATATACATTAAGGAACATTTGTATTCTGGCACTTAATTCATTTGTCCTCGGTTATCGAGTATAAAGATAATGAATATAACAGAAATGTAGCTAGTTAGGATGATAATTAAAGTTTAGCATTATCATTAGGATTAGTCCATAAAAGCAATAAAGACATGACTTAATAATTCTCTTCATCAATATAAGGGTATTAGTGGAGGAATACATTTTAGCCTAATATATGAAAATCAACAGCGTTGCTTCGTTTGAATGTAAACCACAAGAACGTTGAAATGTTAACAAAAAACTGATGTTTTGTTTGTTGTTATTTTCTCCATTACAAACTAATCACTGGGATCTGGTAAAACGTTCTCACATTTACTTTAAGAGTTGCGTAATTTCGCTCATGAATTTTAGTTTTGATATTACGATAATCATTATTAGGATTATTACGTTATAATATGAATTTACATGTAATGATCGAACACGATCCGTTTCGTAATATAATTGCTGCTTCGCTTTATCGACAGCTTTCTTTCTTTGTTCCACTTGGAATTTCTCCTCTTTACGATCGATGGCCATTCTACCTTTTTCCTCATCGGCCAAACGATTAGAACGATCTTCAAGCTTCTTTTCTCTTGATCCCTGATTATTTTATTAGATTAATTAGTTTTTTAGAAAAAACGGGAATAAAAATCAAATTATGGGGGAGAAATTAAAATATTCCTGTAATTTTGAAAAGATTGATCTATAGCAACTCGCTTAAAGTTGTGCTTCTATACATTTGATTTTGGTAAGCCTTTCAATTAAATTAACTCCCATTGTAGGTCTTATAGGGTTGCTAAAGGTCCCAAGCACCGGTAAAGGAGGAGGGTTGGGCATGGGGTCAGCAACCTCATCGCGTAGAAAACAACCCTACTAAAAAACACCATTCAGAAAGAAATCATTTAAACCATTCAAACTCTGTCCTGGGATTTGAAGGACCTTCTTTTAGAGGAATTATGACGCCTCATGGTGAGAGCCGAGATTCTTCGGAAGTCACGAGGCCGATTCTCTTGGGAACGTTAGGTCACCAGAACTCACTGGGAAAAGACCTAATTTTGTAATTTTATTTAGAAAGTTTGAATTTGTTTTTTCCGCGCCAAAAGCTCTCTTTTCACCTTCATGTCGTGTTTCCCACCAGTAAGAATTTCAAACGCTATTGGTCCGTTGTGTCTTTTAGTATGCTATTTTGTAACGCTTGTTGAGGACGGTTTTGTACTGTATATTTACGCTTTGATCTGTGTCTGTTGTGGTCGCTCGTGCTTCTGGGATTTTGCGGAATATACTTCCCCGTTCGGACTTTGACTTTTCTTTCTAGTTAGCGGGGCTAGGACGCAATAGAACAGCTAGTTATTTGATCTTTGGTCGCAAGTCTTAGTTCCGTTCGCAGTCTAAGTGAACTCGTAATCGCTTCAAACCTAGCAGATTCCCCTTCTAACAAACAGAGCAACAGTTAATATAGATACATAGGATGTTCGAACAATGTGGGAGATCGGAAGGACTGGTCAAATAGTTACGGAAACAAGGAGATACAACTTGGCGGATCTCGGAATCAGTAAAACCTATTGAATCAAAGCTAGATAAAAAAGGTTAGATACGAAAGAGATGCTGCCGTGCTCTGGTCACGAAGAAGAAAATGCTCCGCACACTCTGTGAGTTGCACCGATACAGTCCAAAGAAGCACTTAAAGTACTTATAGGATGGGAATCTCATGGATTCAGAACCATCACAACATTCTTCAAAACAAAGAAGGAGGAGGAACAAAACGACTTCCAAATAAGAATGAAATTAGGAAGACATTGGAGGTAGATACCTCATAAATTGCAAAAATCGTCAAACTGCATCACGAGGCAAGCGCCAACTTGGAATCGTGAAGACAGACTGCAAAGTGAAAGAATAAAGAACACATTGCACAGAGAATTTGAAGCAGACATCAGAAGAATGAATAGTGACTGAAAACAACAGGAAAGGAGAGACCAGGTCAAGTTTGTTTAGATATTCCTTGTTGGTGGCCGATGTTCCACTAGGAGTGACAGGTGTGAATCAGTAGGTAATGTGTCATTTCAGTCAAATTACAATTGTTTATTATTTTGAGGTTGATTATCGTATTTTTAGCTTCATAATGATTTCTCATTAATTACCAGCTGTACAAAACTTATTTTTCCAAAGATGAACTCTCTGCTTAATCGTGAACACTTCTATTGCTTGTTTACTAGGAATATTTAACATCGGTTTCAGTTCCCAATCGTAGTACTGAACACTTGGTCTGAGTAATTCATTAAAAAATCACTTTTTTCATACTGAGGTTATCCGTGCATATTTTGTTCAAAAACCAAGAATACTAATAGAAGTAAAAATTTTAAACTACTTAATGATTTAATATTTTGGAATAAACACCAAAACTTATAACACGCTGTATTAATAACTCATACTACTTATTTTCAAGGTTTGAATAATTTTTTCTGGTTAGCGTATTTTTAGCGAGTTAGTTTTCTACGGGTTGGGGACGCTAACCCCATGCCCAACCCTCCTCCTTTATCCGGGCTTGGGACCGGCAGTAGCCCCCGGAGGGACTCCAGGCGGAGTTTGTTTTTCAAAGTAAGTAGTAACATAATGTTATCAATTAATTATACATTAATGTTTACTCATTATGAAATGCGACACAGATGGTAAAACGAGTACTAGCCAAGAAAGAACGCAAAGCAGAAATTGAAGCGATAACCAATGAAAATAAACTGATTCAAATGGAAGAAAAATTTTTTCAAGATTACGCAACTAGAGTAAGTTTGTTACAAAGAACAAAGAAGCAGACCCTTGTTATTTTACTTAATAACAACACTTGTTCTGATTACAGCTTTCACATAGACTCTGGGGTCATCATTATCGTGTTTACAGTTCTAGTAAAATATCTGTAGGACAAATTAAGTCCTACACATAATGTTAGACAAAAGTAAGCATCTATTCATAAACTCTGCAACGTATTAGAGGTACGAGGGCGGTGGTCAGCACCCAGTAGCCCACATCATGAAAGAATAATTCTTCTTAGTCGGTGGCTGATGTTCAACCAAGGGCAAAGGGCTTAAGTAAGTCCAACTAACTTATTTAATAGATAGTGTCGTTGGAGCAGTAACAATTTGTTTATAATTTTGTATTATTGTCATGTTTGTATGAGAATGTTACACCACATACACACCCGTCTTACTAGATTAATTACTAGTTGCTTAAACCTATATATATAAGAATCTTCGATCCTATTACTTCACTCTCATTCACGTTCCTATTCGTGTTCGCTTCGTGTGCTTGTGGCAATGGGATCTGTACTATATAACAATAATCTGCAGTCAACGCTTCCTAATGTCCTCTGGAAATTTTTACCATTTAGAGTTACATAATAATGGTTATCAGGACGAGTAATATACGAAGCATAGGACTAAAACTCATTATGGATATAGTACGACACTTTTTCTTAACGTATTTTGATGAAACATTCAGAGTTTAAAACTAATAATGAACCAGACAAATTAAGATATGGATAGTTTAACTTAAGAAACAAGTAGATTGCGCCCTACTGAGATGACTTTTGAAACGAGAAGAATAAGGGTTATGGAAACTAAACTCACTACTATTTATAAGCAGAGAAGAATGGTGGCTAGCAGTGGAATACAGAACATTATAGATAGATATGATACACTGGTGTAGTTCAGTAGATCTTTTCTGTGCTATAACATTGCATCAGTTGTTATACTCATTTGCGTTTATTGACTTCTTTCCTTTACATATACATCGTTTCTACGTACACTATTCACTATTTATAAACGTGCCGTCATATAACGATACGCTAGTTCCATTCCAAACGCCGTCTGTAAGGTCCCTTAATCCTTTTATTCCGCCTTTTAGGGTCGCTAACCACCAACTTTAGTTCACTATGATGTACAAAAGATCCTAGCAGTTGAATATAGACAATATTGCAAAAATAGCCGATAGAATATGCGAGAGAACCAAGCAAACGAGTCCTCAATTATATAACACAACGTGAGGTCACAGGGTCGATACGCTACAGAAAGAGATAGATGTTTCATCCTATATGTTGGCGAATTTTAAGTAGGACGACAGACTACAAAGATGGTCACCAAATATGTCACGCACGAGAAAACGATCGCGCTCCAGAACAAACCAACCAATAAAATTTTAGCCACATTCACCTCATTACAATTTCACTCGTTATATTAGGCCAAAATGCGTATATCTCCAGCATTAGTGTGCACAAAGTATAGAATTTAGTCTGACCACAAAACATTTACTAGTCACAAGATCAATCTCAGTGTGATGATAAAATACGCTTCACCATTATCCTTTTCAATATACTTAAGTGATAAGAAACAAAATGCCTACTAAAATAAACAAATGAGCATACCAAAAGTGTATTTGTCCATTTTTTTACCATTTCTCTTGACTGTGTTTTAATTTTTTCAATCTGTAACTTCTTCTCTTCTATTCTAGAAGTTTCATTCAAATTACTATCCAGTTTGTTTTTTAAACGTTTCCATTCTGATTGGCTGATCAGTTTCACTCGTCTTACGTCCATAGGTATATCATTAACAGGATTTTCAAATAAAAATTCCTTCCTATCTATGTCTAAAAGAATAAGAGAATGTAATATTGGACATTTTCTTAGTAAAAATAGTTTGATAACTCCTTTGAAGACGCTAAAAACGATCATAAAAATGTGAAGCCGGTTTCAAGCCAATCAGGATACAATTAATACTAATAAATAATTTATCTCATGGGAAGCTGAGAAGGGTAGTTTTGGTTGGGATTTAGGTAGCCCATATTGCTAAATACTTAAATACTGAGCTGATCTTTTTTAGGCGTGGTGAATCATCAGGTTTCTTGAAATATATAAATTATGGTCCCTATTCCTTATTATTCCCATATTTACCAGTTTTAAACATTTTAGCACTTATACATTGGAAAGTATCTATTCGACCAATATTACGGACATGATTAGTTGAAAAGTCCCAAATAGCATGAACATATGTCTGTGGCTTTCTAATATTTGACTCCAACCACCTAATCAACCAGTCAGTCAATAATCGTCGACTATATCCTAAAGTGTAAACGCTTCTTTTATGTTTATTTAAGTCAGGTCTTTCAGTTACAGTAACATAAAAGTCTCAGCGTTTTGTGTTCAGGTAAAGCATGGAATGCACTGTGACTACTTCAACAAATGGTATCACAATGTGTTCACCGAACTCACACCGGCTGCATGTAAAAGGTGTTGTAAGCCAATATCGCGTTAGCTGTGCAAAGCGTGCTGCTCTACAAATTCTGCTGATTCTTGAGGTGATTGAACTGCTGAACATAGCTAGGAAAATACCCTCAGATAAACAGCCAACAGCAGATGAGTAGATGTCAGTTTAAGAAGAGGCGGAGTGTTAATATAAGTCCAGCTTTGCATGTAAATGAAACCATCCAGGGGGACCTCCATAACGTAGCGGATAACAAATACACAGATGTAGGCGTCGTTACTAGGAAAAAAAAGCACGCTAAGAAGATACAAATTATTTGGAGCTCTAAGATATGTGAGCCGACAGTTTCAGCTCTGAATTCTCATATCAACGAAAAACAGACTATGCAGGAACAAAGCCTGAGCAGTATAGATTATTTGATCAAGGCTAACCATTAGCTTACGGTTACATCCAGAAAATTAAAGAAACAGAGTGAGACCCGCACGTATGACGCCACATTGGACTACAAGGATGAGATTTCAGAAAACAGAACTTCACAGCTTAACAAGACGGATTTCGCTGGGCGGTCAGTCATTTTTCATAAGTTAAGAAAGTCTTCCAAGAGGAACCGAAGGCTGTATTTGAACACGATCTAGGTCACATTAAGTCCTTGATAAGCAATCTAATTCCAGAAATAGTAGAACGAGTTAGCATTATTAAGCTCATAGAATAGGACGAAAAGTGGATTATAAAAGTACACAGAAAAGTTGCTTATGATGAAGAAAGGGACGCAAACTGACTGGACCCCGAATATATGCCTGTGAGGATCTCAGCCTGGCTGGTCATATTGAGACGATCGTCAGAGGTAGAAATAAATGAGCGCCGTCGAAACGGTGTAAAAACCCTATAATTAAGTGTTTGTACATTGTAAACGTTCGGAGCGAAACGACCATCAAACCACTATGGGTGGTACGGCAAAGTTCTTCACGTAATTAAAAGTATGCTAAAAAATGCTCACAGCCTGCTAAATAAAATGGTGGAGCTCAAAAACGTGGTGAACACAGAAACTCCTGGTGCCATTACCGTTTCAGAGATATGGTTAATGTTAGAAGAGTATGGAGCTGAAATTCAATTACATTTTTCTTACTCTGTAGGGCTGATAGACTAAACTGTTGGGGTAGCTGGGTTGTCCTGTACACAAAAAGCGCCTTAACCATATGAGCTGTTGAGACAGTGGTACACAAATCAGTGACATATTAACTGGTGCGCTTCTCCTAAGTAAACTTAAATCCTGGTCAAACAGTTGTAAAGGCCCCATAGTAGGTGAATTTGACGCACCGTATATAAATTGCGGAAACTTAGAAGTAGGGCCATCAAAAACATCGTTTGATTACAAGCTGTTAGAAATCACAATCACCCTAGCTTTATTCCAGAACATTGGAGGTGACCTAAAAAACTCGTCTCTCTTGGACTAAGTCTTCACGCACGGTGATGATGACTGTCAAGTAACCTCCCTCCCACCTCTAGGGAGAAGTGGTCATGTGGTCATCTTACTCAAGCTCATGGCTGAGATAGCCTGTCATGCAGTTGCGCTGACACGTCCTTACATATGGAACGCAGATATGAAGGCGATCAACTCTGTAGTGTCGGCTGAAAACTGAATAATTGACTCAGGGGCGTCAGTAGAAGAGGCATGGACTCATTACTGGCAATTATACAATCAAATGACTTAACCATTTATACTCTGGACAGTCGCAAAAAAAGAAGAAGCACGATCATCCCTGGAAAGACCAGAATATTCGACGTTTGCCAAGAAAAAAGAAGAAATGTTGAAACGTTGCCATCAACCTCGACACAACAAGTACGATGGAACGCTACAGGTCAGCACGAAATAAGTGTATAATTACAATCCGGACAGCTCAGAGGAAATATGAAAAGCAGTCGGCCCAGTCTGTAATCAAGCAGCCGAAGAGACTGTTCTCGTATATAAATTGAAGAAAATTAACAGAGTGCTAGATTATCAACCTAATTACGGGAGTGGATCTCAAATAATAGAGGATGATCAGGACAAAGCAGAAGCTATGGCAAACCATTTTGGTACAGTTTTCACTCAAGAGCCTCTTCCAGACGACAAACTAGACCAAAATACAAAGTCGCAAAATAGGCTCACTGTGGACTTCGTTTGAGACGATATACTAAAAGCTCTTAGCACTTCAGACATGGAAAAATCAACAGGACCGGATGAATTACACCCTAAAATCTTGAGACAAATAGCACGATATATTATTGCCCTAATGACTACGACATTCAATATGTTACTCAGCCAAGGTGAGTTACCTACGGACTGGAAGGATGAAATTGTCACCACAATACATAAAATAGGATCAAAACAACTCCCATCAAACTACAGACCTTTGAGCCTCACCAGTGACGTACTTAAAATACTGGAAATAACCAAAAAGGCAATAATGACATCCGTGGAGACCAACAACTTGTTGAACAGCGAACAATATGGCTTCAGGAAAGGACTATCTCGCATAATAAATCTCCTTATAGTAAGTGAGCAATGGGTAGAAGATTTAGATAATGGAAAATCAGTGGATATTGTGTAAATAGACTTCAGCAAAGCATTTGGTAAGATGCTAAATAACAGACTTCTCTTGAAGCTGAAAAATCTAGAGGTTGCTAAACTTCTCCTAAAATGAATCAACAATTTCTTGGTAAGTCGTAGATAGAAAGTAAAAATAAATTCCTAGTACTCCAACCATAAACCAGTACTTCGTTGAGTACCACAAGACTGTCCTAGGTCCTTTATTTCTATACTGTGTGCAAATGGACTTCCAAGTATAGCTGAGTCCTCACTGCTATTATATACTGATGATGCAAACATCCGGCGAGAAATAACAGGAGACACAGATGCATGTGCACTTCAGGCACACTTAGATGTTTTGATTAGCTGATTTAAAATATGCATAATGCCTATCGACGTGGCCAAATGGGCCTATATGCATATTGGGGATGCAAAGACAAATACGTACAACATATAGGAAGAGCTAGTACCCGTAGTCCAGTCTCATGAGGATCTTGGGATGATACCCGACCGTTGTTGCCACCTTGACGTGGTGGTTGGGCTTGCCTATCGTGATGAACCAATCGAGCTATACTAGCTGGAACAATCGTTCTATAAGGTCCTACTGTACCAGACACGTCGGTTGAAGAACGGTAAAACTAACAGCAGCAAACCCAAGGTCCGAAGGCGGAGTCCTACTGCTGACTGTACAGAGGTGTGACGACAGTAAGGTGTTTCCCTCAGACAATCAACATCTGTAGCGATGCTGGGGTTGGAAAAGGTCGACACTAAAAATGCACAGCTCACCTTATCTCATGGATCTTCTTCCCCGGCGGTAAGGTCTCAACAAGTACGGAGCTAAAACGAAAATTTCCCACAAAAAGGTCGTATGTGGCAAACCTTAAGCAGTTGTCTTTTGGGCACTGGTCACACTCTCAGGTCATTAAAACCACCTCATGCCCAATTTCCCTTTCAGGTACCTCTAGAAGAACCCTCCCACGGTGTGGGCGACCGGGAAGTGAAAACCGCCTTCATACCTCTAACACCACTCAAGACCACTGTATTCATAATCAACCACCCTCTCCAATTCCTATTATTCCTCCTACACCGACTTTCAACACTAAACTTCCTCTTTTGGCTTCCTCCCGAAGTGTCACCATAGCCAACGATTCTAGTGCGCAAAACATTGTCCCAGGTCTACTGAAATCTCACTCCAAACTACACATTGCAGCCTTCAACGTACACAGCCCAGGTCAAATCGGCCAGCAGGGCTCCCTGGCTAAAACCCTTGAATCTCGTACTATTGATATATGTTTTGTTTCCGAAACACGCATACAGGATACTAGTGTAGTCATTCACTTGACCTCACCTTGCCAAAACGGAGAGCCGACGAGATACGCCTTCCGTGCATATGGCGACCCAATGGCCAGTTCTCGTGGACTGGCAGGTGTAGGCATAACACTAAATACGAGGACGGAACAAGCACTATTAGAGTAGATCCCCGTTAATAGTCGCCTATGTGCTGTTCGGCTAAACAGCTCCGTAAGAACTCGGAAGGATAGAGACACACGTCGTTGCCTTTTCTTTGTTTCTGCCTACGCCCTCATTGACTGCGGCCTGGATGAAGTGAAAGATAACTTTTACAGAAAGCTTTCTGAACTTATTCAAAGAGCTAAACGCTCAGACATAATACTCGTAGCACATGACTTTAATGCCCACGTAGGAAGCTTAAACCAAACAGAAAGACATTGAAGTAGGTATTTTAGTATCCCGGCTCAGCGAACAGATAATGGTGACCGTCTGCTGCAGCTGTGCTCAGACAATCGTTTATTTTTAGCAAACACAAATTCTAAGAATAAGGAGAGACATCGTCTAACATGGCGACCCCCTACACCAAACCAACGATGGACTCAAATAGACCATATTGCCATCAGTCATAGTTGGAGAGGGTCGATGGAAGATTGTTGCTCATTCTGAAATACCTGCTTGGACTCCGACCATGCTTTAATACGAGCACGCATCTGCTTGCGCCTCACTGTACGCAGAAAAACCATACTCAGAGGACCTGCTAGTTGAACTTAGTGACGAGAAGGCCAAAAGTAGATTCCAGGAAAAACTGAGGTCAATCAGGTAGTTCTGAAAACGAGGCTGTTCTAGATGTTGCTTGGAAAGATATGCAAAGAGCTGTGGGAATAGCAGCGACACCTATTTATGGTTTGAACAGAAGAGTCACGAAAAACCAGTGGATTTCTTCTAAGTCTATTGCACTGATAGGTCTTCGTAAACTCATCCCATCAGGCTCTGAACTCAATGAAGAGCGAAAGCGGATCAAATCTAGGTTAACCAAAAGTCTAAGGAACGACCGTGAGCAGTGGTGGGCAACGGAAGAAAAAAAGAGATGGAAAAGGCGGCTGCTGTATGTAACACAAGGCAGCTCTTCAGACTAATAAAAGAAACTGGAATTAATAAGTCAAGTGTAAGTGAGTGTCTCGGAAAAAGACGACATTCTTAACTACTCTCAGTCCAAACATTTAGAACGATGAGAGGAACACTTTAAGAAGCAGTTCAGCTGACCTTCAGCCACTCTACAACTACCCACTATTCCCAAACAGCGGGAATAGAACATTGAAGTAGGTCCTCGACTCTGGCTGAAGTTCAAAAGGCTATAGCTAACCTGAAACGAGGAAGAGCAGCTGGTCCAGATGGATTGGCTCCAGAGGTCTTTAGGGATGGTGGTTCAGTTTTGTCGACTAAATTGACTAATATTCTAGCTAAAATCTGCGATCTATATAGCATTCCATCTGACTGATTCCAACCACTTATTGTCCCAATACATAAGAAAGGGTCAAAATCATCCTGTGATAACCATAGAGGGATTAGTTTGACTAACATAGCATCTAAAATACTAGGATCAATAATTATTGAACGCCTAACAAAGACTCGTGAACCGCAAATACGAGAGAATCAAGCTGGCTTCAGACCTGGTCGTGGCTGCATCGACCATATATTAACCATTCGTCAGATTTTAGAACGCAGTCATGCTTATCGGCGTCTGACAATAGTGATCTTTCTTGATTTAGAAGCAGCATTTGATTCTATAGACCGAGAGGTTCTGCTGCAGTGTCTGTCATTGAAAGGTGAACCTCAGAAGTACATAAACCTTGTAAAGGCTCTTTACTCAAACACTACTAGTCAAGTGAGAGCTTATGGCGAACTGTCATCTGCTTTTGCAACCTCAAGTGGTGTCCATCAAGGCTGTCCACTTTCTCTGTTTTTGTTTAACTTCATCATAGACCTATTGATGGTAATAACATTCTCGTCTACTGAATTCTCGTGTATTGATCTCCTTCCAGGAGGTCCACTTATCGACTTAGAATACGCAGATGGTATAGTCCTGTTTGGTGAAGACGCTGATAAAATGCAGTCTTTTGGTAGCACTGAGCAACAATGCCAGAATGTTTGGAATGCGCTTCTTTCCCTCTAAATGCAAGTTGTTGCTTCAGGATTGGTCTGCGTCAACACCTGAACTAAGGATAGGGAGTGAAGTAGTCGAACGCGTCGACAACTTCACTTATCTTGGAAGTCTGATCAGCCCTAATGGGTTGGTGTCTGACGAAATCTCAGCACGGATTCGAAAAGCTCGTTTGGCTTTCGCCAACTTACGTCACCTATGGCGAAGGCGAGATATCCGTCTATCAATAAAAGGACGAGTATACTATGCGGCAGTCCGTTCTGTTTTAATTTACGGCAGTGAAACATGGCCATTAAGATTAGAAGACACTCGTAAGCTACTAGTATTTGACCACAGATGCCTTAGAAATATTGCTCGCATCTGCTGGGATCACCGGGTAAGTAATAGTGAGGTTCGACGCATAGTATTAGAGAATGATAGTAAATTAGTTGATGAGGTTGTCAATCTTCGTCGACTGAGATGGTTGGGCTACGTGTTACGTATGCCTGAACACCGATTACCAAAATACACAATGCTGACTAGTGTTGGGGATGGTTGGAAGAAAATTAAGGGCGGTCAAACCAAAACGTGGCATCAGTGCTTTAAGTCACCAACTTCTAGTCTTAGCCATGTTGGTAGATGCAGACTACTTGGTTGGGGTCCGCGTGACTATCGTAAGCAATGGTCGGAGACTCTGGGTGACATGGCTCAGAATCGATCACAATGGTGTCCGTGTATACACTTTGTCTTCCCTTAAACTACGAGATTAAGATTGCTTCATCCCTTTATTTCTATGAACTAATTCTTTCTTCTTGTATTATATCCTTATACACAATCTTTCTTTTATATATTACTACCATTGAAGTAACTACCCCTATGAATTTGGTGTTCATTTTGTTGTGCTAATGAGGTGTTGCAACTTGGACCGATGCATATATGTGCCTGGTCCACTGCCGATGGATCGCAACTAAGTGGTGTAGAACCCTATGGGCTTTGTGGAGGACATTCACGAAGTTAGGTACTAATGTGTTCACTACTGTTTACACAACATTAGTGAGATCCAAACTTGACAACTGCGTTTATGCTGCAATACCCTGTTTAGATGTCTCAAATATCCTGATTAAATACAGGGATCGTGCAATTCCACAACTCCATGGTTTACTATACGGAGAGCGGCTTGAGAAGCTGGACCTCTATTCTCTTCCAACCCAGCAAGTAGAAAATTCAAGAACGAACAAGATACCCATGGCATACATGATTTCACACCGAGTCATCAATTCTTGGAACCTTTTGGTTCTCCAGATGGTAGAATCCTAATGTTTAAGCAAGTTTGCATCAGAAGAATTTTTAAAACTTGAAATATTGGCCTAGACCAGTTGAAATAAACCTTGGTTTTGACTTGGATTATGGATAGACTTTGTTTATAGGCGTACCTTAGCAGAAATTTAAAGAGTATAAAACGGTAAACTTAAGATATGTCGAATAGGCGAATGTCGTTTGATATATTACCGAAGAGTTCTGATGGGGATTTTTACGCTGGTTTGTCAAATTTGCAATTAACTATATAATTCTCAGTCTTAATGTTTATTATTTTAACAACTTTAAGTCAAGATATCTTTACCAAGGTGAGAAATTCTTACTTCTCATTCTGACCATATGAAGCGGTTCACGTCTAGCCAGGTGGTACTTGGTATACACTAGGGGAGTATGCAGAGTAGCATTTGTGAGGGCTGGAAAAAAGAACAAAGAAGTTGATCGACGACCCAACAAGAGAACAATATTGTAAGTGCATATGCACTTACATTTACTAAAAAGCGCAAAAGGTAACAATCAGCAATAACACAAGCCCCAGATTAAGATTATTTTGTAATCAAAAATAGAAGTAGATTGTAATGAGAAACTATATTAGTTGACTGGAATTGCTGATGGAGTAAATAACCCGAAGAGATGCGTGTACATTCTCAGCTTGATTTAATTCTACCCAACTGCAAATGCTTAATTGGATGTATAGATCCAAACGACTAATCAATCAAAGATTTCAAATTAAAGTTCATCCCCATCGTACCTTGTTAGTATTACAAAATCCCTTTTGAAACGGGCGCCCTTGTAACCATGATAACGAAACTTCAAAATATTTCTAATGCCCAATGTCGTTGTAGTGAGTTCAAGTGGTTCAAATGGTTGTAGATGAAATAAAAGAAGCGTTTCATCAACGACCTTCCTTGTCTATTAACAGTTGATCAGCAACACTTTCAGGCAGGAACCTAGGTATATCAACGATAATTGGGGAAAAAGAAATCGGCAAATCGTTGTAAGATATTATCCTTAATCCTTAAGAACAGGTAAATTTTCCTCTTAAACTTAGGTTGGTATTTTAGAGGATGTCCACTGTGAGCCACCAGGTCACCTCAAAGATGCCTTTACTTTAATGGATAAAGGTTTAGTGATTGAACTGGTATTCAGTGTTCCCGTCATTTGCTTATATAAACCATTTTTCACCTATGCACATGATCTTTTCTGTTTCGTTACGCTTCCAGATCTTTCGGAAAATTAAATGGTTCGCAGTCCAGTCACTCGACTGGCTGATTTCTTTGCGCTCACTTTCTTTGATTCGGTATGTATCCATGTATTTGTTAATGTACAATTAGTGATAGTCTAACCACTCGACTTCATTAATCTTAGTCAATTGGATATATATTAATGGACTTGCGTATCTTGTAATATTTGAAAAGACGAAACTAAAAGATTCAGAGGGTAAACAGAGATGGGAAGCATAAGAAGTAGTTGCTGATGTGCAGCAGTGATAACCGTGGTAATTTACGAAACACATCAGACGGCTGATCAAATGTGGGACGATAATACATGGGTGAATACGTGTTTGTCAAGCGGATAAATCTGGAAGAGGATAGTTACGAAACATGCAGGTCGTTTGTGTAATGTGAGGTTTAAAGTCCATAGCGTGGCATTTGGAAAGGCTGAATTTTAAACTATTTTCCTGACGTTCTTTTAACTTGGTGTCTTTTTTGAACGCAAGTTTACCCCTTTCCAGAACTTGACATAATTAGCGTGAATGTAGACCAGCAAGCCATTTTATATAAGGAACAATTCATGGACGTAATCAAGAGAATGGACTTGAAGTAGTTCCCCATGGGACTGTGGGTGCTGGAGTCCTAGTGTGGCAGTACTCCCTGCCTACCTTAGTATGGAATATTTGCCCCTAAAATTGCCTTGAGAGCTCTGGGAGGAGTAAGCTAGGATAATCCAACCCGAAATCTTTTTATTGTAAAACAAATGTGGTAAACTTTTGGATTCATTTGCAAAGTCAATTATTACTACGTGCCCTGGTACTTGTTGATTGCAGATGTTTTAGCCGGTGATTAAACTCCGAAACCCTACTTTCCAAACTCTGTGTTTGAGCTCCATGGCCCGTATATTCCTTTACTTAGCCGCCGACCGACTGCTCCTAAACCTAAACCTTGAGCAATATCGGGGGTGACGTGATTACTTGCAACGAGCCATGTCTTTCTTGTTTGTTCCTCTGAAGATTATAGGGAGATTGCCCCCAGTTTGACTGTTTAGGGGGTTGATGGAACAAGTCACATATATAAATGTTATGATAGTCTCTGTTCATCGTTGTACAACTTTGAGTTCTATGTTGTTATATCTCGATGACTTGTCTGGCTGAAGGGACGAAATTGTTCTCAGTACTAAATTGGAGGTTGGGTGAATGTTTTCCAGGCCAGTAGAAGAGTGTTCTTCAGTTGTAAGTGCTTGGTTTAACCTTATGGCAAACTGGACATTAAAGACTTCCCTCGATTCTACTATGATGACATCTATAATTTTCCGTTGGGCTATAAATCCACCGTGATGTCTTTAGTTTAGCTTCTTTATTTAGCTTGGCCTAAAGACAGTTCACACTGTAGTATCTTGCTTGGAATCATAATAAATGCGACCGATGATTGCGTATCAGCGCCGAGTCGTTTGTGAAGTCATTCTGAAGGTCCCACATACTCCTCATTGAGACCTACCAATCGGTTGCTGAAGTCGCTAGCTAGGAGTATCGGAACAAAATCCAAGTGAAGTGGTGACAATATCACCTCGAATGTCTTCCCCCCATGTGTGTAATTTCTATTGAGGTGGTTTATTCCTCTAATTGAGTGCTCGTTGAGTTAGCAGTGATAGGACTATGGTAGCTGAGCTGATTTAATAGCAGGAGGTATCGTAACTTTAAAGCTCTTGGAAACGTAGATAAATATTCTGTTACTTATTCGGTGTTCTCTGTCACATCTGAGTAGTGTCACAATTTGTGTTATCACTCTATCGTCCGTAACATCAGAGGAGATCCAGGTTCAATTAGAAGTTCTAGCAAGAAACACATCTCTGACCCTACCATTTTATTACTAAGTCCCCTTAAACTAGTGTAAGGATGCGTAGTCGATTTTTAGTGGCTACAGGTTAGATATTAGTAGCATCAGGCTTTTGCCTAATTCGAAATGTACCAGTGGCGCTGTTTTGACATTTATTGCGAGTTGATATGCGAGAGTAACTGTAACTATTTCACTGTTCATACGTTGTACATGAATTTGTAGAACTAAGGTCTACTTCGTTATTAGTACTGCTCTAATAATAGATCTGATCTCAAGATCGTAGATATCATTGCCTAATGTTTAAGATCACATAATTGTCTACATTGACTGGTTTTATCGTAAGAATCACCAACATATGTTGGAGAACACATTTAGACTGGAGATAGGACTATAAATTTATTGTGAATAGAAGAGACAAATTACACAAGAATGACCACGCCTGCGAGGCTGAGCCATGCCGGCCGATTTATTGAATTACGTTTCTCGCGTTCTCCATAATCAACCTCCTCTTCATGTCAATTGTTGAATACAAGTTATTTCAGAAATTATATGCCCGACTTCAAAAGCCGTGTGGTTCGGGTCAAATGCCACTACACTACTCTACCACCAGAATCAACGTAACGTTGATTCGATACCAAATCCAGTAGGATTATCACGCGCCGGAGGTTACCAAAAATAATAAGAATCCTCCCCGTATTGATAAGCTGAAAGATAAATCATAAAGAAAGCGATATCAGCTGATCGAGTAATACATATAGTAGTTTCAAAATATTTGGTTTTACTCTTAACACACGCGAAATGAAATTCAGACCAAGATTAGTTAAGAACTAAACAAACTAGGACTATAATAATTAAGAATGATTTCGTATAGAGTATAAAGTCGCACTAACATGAGTAGTAATAACCGTTGGTTGATAGCTTAACTTATAGGTAGTGCAAGTACTTTGTGTTTAGAATTAGTGAAAACAACCAACATTATAGAAATATCGATAACGGTATCATTTTTAGCTTGAATTATCAATTTGAATAACGCTTATACCAATACGCCGTCCAAATGAGTTCATTTCTTATTCCATCTGTATTAGCAGGCTTTCTGAAGGAACAAAGGTATGACCATGGAGAAGAACAGTTCCAACTAGTGTTCCAGTGAGTTTGTTAAGTTTGATACGGTTTATTTAGTTAGTGAGAGATTTCATCCACCTCACCATTAGTTACCTGTGGTAGAATTTAGTAATACTACCAATACATATAATTGGTTATTAAAAATTCTTTTACGTGAAAATAGTGGTAGTTGTGTGCATTTTTGACAGATAGCTAAAAGCAATTTGTTAAACATGAGTGGATTCATGAGAGACATGTTCTAGACTCAGTGTTGTTTATACTCACACCTACTGGCTGATGGTGCATATAAGCTAATTGCATTTATCGAGTTTCGCACAAGGTAGAAAACGACTTATTTGAAATTAAGTGAATATAGGTTGTGGAAATCAACACAGCAAATTTGTCACACATATAGGTGCTGTGGTGATGAAAGATGCTTTCGACTAGACAAGTCTTAACAAGATGACAAATAGTGACTGATGCTCATGTGATTATCATGGAAAATATAAGTTGAAACCAGGGGGGGTACAACTCCCAACTCATGTCTATGATAATGGCTTGGACCGTAGTCAGTGTTGGGATAACGTCGACAGTGTTTCCGGTTTGCAGGAGATTTGCTTGACTGTTTATACTGATGATTTGCATACATGATTGCGTTGATAAGACTCTAATCAGACTGGCGAGGTTTAAAGATGTTTGCTAAATGAGCTAATGGTAGCGCAACACACTATAATATAGAGTTTTCATAACAAGTTACTGTAGTTAGCTTAGTGACACTCGTAAACACGTGACAAAGGTGATTTGAAATAAGAAAGGTTAAATAATTTTTGAAATTAACAGGCTTCGTCTGTAACAACACACTTTCATAGTAGTATGTTGTGGTATGAAGCTGTTAACTATATCTCATACCGAAGACGTTTCGGAAGTGGTTCGTACGAAATATATATACGCTTAGTCTAGGTGAAAATATATACACATTAAGTACAAAAACGGTAAGTCATCCAGCAAAATGTCAAGACTCTTCTGGATCATTTTCAGTAGTTAGATCATGCAATAGACTTGATGTACATAAGACCGGTCATGACAAGTTATAATGGTACAGAAGGAAACGGACTGAACACTCAGTATTTCGACCCGTTTCTGGGTGTGTCTGGTAGATTTTTAAAAAATCCATTATCCATAAGTTTCTGGAGTACTGTCCTTGTTGTTTGTCAACGGAACTCAGATATTAAAAATTAGGCACACAATGGTCGGACAAAAAGATATTAGGTGACAGTTCATAGTTTAAAATAGAGTAAAATGTTAGGTGAAAAAACAATATGAAGAATTACGTCCACATAACCATTCAGTCCTTGCTCACGTTGCTAACCAATATCTTTTTACGTCTTGTAAATGTCATACTCGCTAGTGCTTGATGTTTTGACAAGTTTATTTCACTGAAGCATGTAAATGGTACTACGTTTTGTCACTAAACCATCGTGGGTAAGAATTAATACAGATGAGCTGTCATTAGTATCGATCGAGCTCGTAAGTTGTGAGTACTAATCAACATTGAAGTGCGATAATACATGTGAGCTTTATTCTGGGGACTAATAGAATAATGGGTTAACATAAGTAAAAATCGATCGAGAAACTTAAAGTCAAAATGAGGACTAATATAGTCTTCATATGTTTAGTCGGGCTTACCA